TAGCCTATCGAGGGTCTGAGCAATGTTTTCCACACCAAGGTTAGGGGCACCTTCACCCCCACCAGGGTTGTGGGAGATGCAGCACTTTTCAAATCCCCCCATGAGGCTGTCATTGAATGTTTTATGGTAAGGCACATTTGCCTAATATCAGGACAGTTTTCCCCATTTGTCCTATAGGTATAAGTCAGTGATCTTCACAGTGCAATCACTTACTTTATTGCATTTTAAAGAGATTTTAATAGGCTCATTATATTAGCTCTATTGCTGTGGAACAAATGAGCACAGAATTAGTGGCTTAAAACAACACCCATTTATCAGTTCACAGTTCTGAGGTCAGCAGTCTAGGCACGGCTTGTCTGCCCTTTCTTCTAGGGTCTCTGAGAAGAAGTGCAGCATCAGCAGGGTGGTGGCCTCCTCCACAGGCCCCCTAGGGGATGGTTTGCTTCCAAGCTGCCTGAGGTCAATGACAAAATTCACCTTGTGGCGTAGAGTTCCGACAGCTTACTTCTCTGTGGCCTTTAGGGCACAGGGGAGGCAGCTTCATTTCTAAACCTCCTTTCCGATCAGTTCTGGGGTGAATAATCTCCCCTTTGAGTTAACGCACAGTCAACTGATTAGGGACCTTAATTACATCCGAAAAGTTCCTTCTCTTGGCCATGTAACGTAACATAGTCACAGAATGGTGTCGCTCAACTCTGCCCACTCCTGCCAGTCGGAAGCAAGTCCCAAGGCCCACCCACACACGAGGGGAGGGCCGCACAGAAGCCTGGATGCCAGTGGGGGAGCCACAAGATGTCTTATAATTCTGCCAGACACACACTTCCCAGATGACAAAGCAGCAGGTTTCTTCTTTACAGGCTGCTGACGGCGTCAGATTCAGCCTCCCAAGGTGGCACTCCCTGGAATGCCCGTCCCCTTCTGAGACATACCCAGGGAATACCTTGGGTTTCCCCAACGCAGCCTGTGGTGAACAGGAAAGTATCTGGGGTGTGTCTGAGCCCATGAGGTGCTTTGCAAAGGGCTCTGGTGGGTCCTCGGGTACCACTCATTCCTCCTGGTGGGGGCACCCTACCTGCTGTAGGAAGGTGGCCAGTTAACCCTACGCTGGTGCAACAGTGCTGGGTGACGAGAGTTAGACACCCACACGTGCAGGTCCCCTGTGCCCGATTCCATGGAGATCTCTTGTATCCCGCGGTGGGGCTCTGCCTTTACTGTTTGGGGAGTCTGGTGCCAGCTGTAGCAGGTATTTCTGGCCACTAGTCCCTGGTGTCCCATGGCCAGATGCTCGGCTCAGCCCCAGGCATCTGAGTGTCGCAGTGGCAGCTCCATGGCTGCCTTTGCTGCCTGGCACAGCCTGGCTCTGTTGCCTGGAGCCATATCACCAGCCTGCTGCAAGCCACAGATGTCCCACTCACCCTCTTTCTTTTTGAAACATTTAAAAAGTTTTATTTCTAATTTGCACAGGATGACTGTGCGCGTATTTACGGGGTGCCTTGAGATGTGTGGATAAACGTGCACTGTGTACAAGTGGTCAGATGAGGGTCCCTGTTGCGTCTTTCCCCCAGCACTTACCCTCTCCTTGTGTTGAGAACTTTGGAATCTTCTCCCGCTCTTTTGGAACAGCACCAGTCACGCTCCTGGGCTAAGGACATCAGGATGCACGGTTCCCACCCAATGTGACACTGTACCTGGACCCTCCTCCTCCCGTGCCTCCCACTCCCGCTCTGGACAGGAGTGAGACCATGAGGTATTGGTCTCTGCATGGCGTCTTCCTCTGCTTCTGGGACCCTGGCTCAAGCTGGGAGCAGTTGCCTACCTCAGAGCCTTCCTGGCCCTGGGCCTCCTGTGCCTCCTGTCCAGGGGATGAACAGTATCTGAGGTTCCGAATGTGCTGCTCTGGGCCCGAAGGGGCCTCCAGGCTGAGCTTCCCTCCTGGAGGCTGCTGCCCTTTACAGCATCCTGCCCCCACTTTACAGTGAGTGGTGTGGCCTGGCCCGGGCCAGGGGCTTCTCTGCCCCCTGTGCAGCCGCCCATTGGCTCCTCTCTGTCCCTGTGGTTCTCCTGCTGTGGCCCGCTTCTGTGTCACATCTTCCTGTCCCGTCCCCTCAAGTGGCACCTGTGGGCTGAAGATCAGCATGGTCACTGCTGTGACCCTGCACCTTCTCTACATTTATTACTGAGTTCACGGGGGCCACACAGCGCCACTCTGTCCTCTGCTGTCTCAGCAGGAAGGGTGGCAGGTCTAGGGGCTTCTGCCTGTCCTGTCCCACTGCAGCTGTTCTTTCTCCACAGGCCAAGGAGCCCTGGCAGGGGTTCTGGCGAGTGACTCCTCCTGGTATGTCCACTCAGGACACAGTTAAACTCACCGTGCCACACCTGGCTGGGAGCGAGTCACACATGTGCCACAGCCAGTTTAAAGGCTCACTGTTGAGGGGAGTCTACTTTTTTCCCCTAGAGATGGTTCTCACTACGCTGCCCAGGCTGATCTGGAACTCCTGAGCTCAAGGGATCCTCCTGCCTCAGCCTCCTGAGTAGCTGGAACCCCAGTTGAGCACCACCAGGCTCGGCTCTGCTTGCTCCCTTTTGGTCACAGATGTCATGCACGGTCCTTGTGGTGCCCAGCTGCTGTCCTGCCCCTGCAGCAACCTGTGCCTTACTGATCTCTTCGGCCCCTGCCTCAGCTGCCACCTGCTGATCTGCCCCACCCGGCCTCTGGTGCTCAGTGCTGCCACTTGCCTCTGGGATTCTGGGCCTTTCGCTCGGCCCTGTGGTGGCAATGGCTACTGTGGTGCCAGCCTGCAAGCACAGCCAGCACTGGGCCCTCAGCAGCACCCACCTCCCTGGCTCGCTCCTTCTCAGCCCTACGGAGCGTTTCTCAGAGCCCCCCGCCCCCAGGGAGCTTTAGCAGATCCTGTGTCCCACTGCCTGGGCTGGGGCCCTTCCTTCTCCACGCTGGCTTTCGGGGTGTGATGCTGTCACCTGCCATCGCTTCTTCCAGACTTCCTGTCGGCCTCACAAGGGAGCGGACTGGGGGAGGGGTGCTCGAGGGACCCCGAGGTGATGTGAAGCCCAGTGCCAGGCAGGTGCTCAGGGAGTAGGAACCGCACCTGCTTCCAGCTACCATGGGCCATGTGGGTGGTCCTGGTGGTCTCCACATGGGACCCTCTGAGCCTCAGTTTCCTTGCTGACAGGAGATGGTGACCAAAGGATCTTGCAGATGGGTCAGCGGCTGCTGCCCTGCTGGGTCTCTCAGTGGATGCCGAGGGGTGTCACAGCCCAACGACGCAATCATTCTGTCCCAGGCGTTCTGTCCCAGCTTTGGCTCGACAGCACCCGGGCTGGTTTGTGAGGGGCCATGTTCCAGGGTCCCTGTCCAGGTCAGGGCCAGCCAGAGAGGTGGCGGGAGGAGGTCACATGCAGGGTTTTTGGAGAGGAGTTGGCTTAGGCGACTGTGGGGTTGGGCAGGGCAGGCCCGGGCCACAGGAGGCTCCGAGCACAGGCGGGCTCTCGGCTCCTCTGAGGCTGTGCCCACAGGCAGAATTCCTCCTTCTCGGGGAGCCTCAGCCCTGCTTTGAAAGCCTTCACCTGATTGGGCCAGGTCATTGGGAGAATCTCTCCTCCTTAAAGTCAGCTGATTGTGGGCTGAATCACAGCGGAGAACAGCATCCCACAACACTGAAAAGTCTGTTTGATTGGTTGACTGGGGCCAATGCCTCCACAAGCTGATATTCAGCCTGTCCTTCCCAGTCCTCCATTCCAGGATCTTGGGAGAGCGCAGGTAGTGAGAAAAAATATAAATATAGATGTATGCAGATGCGTTTGGGCCTGATAAACACACAAGCCTATTTCCACATGTAATACATATGTGCATAAATTCTCCCCAGCCAGATGGGCCTGTTGACTCTTTCCTTTGGCAATGAGCTCTGCACTAATGATTCAGAGACAATTTATGTGCTTTCCTAAGTGACAAGAGCTGGCCCATGTCATTAGCAGTTAATGATAAATACAAATAAAAAGTGGGAATATAAAAAGCCAGTTATGGACATGAAAGCTGTGACTCCATCTGTAGGGACCCTGAGCCACCAGGCGAGTGTGGGCCCCCTGAGGGTAAGCACCTGTCACCAGAAGTCACGCGGTGACAGCTGACCCTGTGGCAATGCCACACAGCTCCTATCTGGAAGATGTGGTGGGGCCTGAGGAGGCTGTTGGAGCTGGGGTAGCTGAGGCCCAGGGAGGGGAGAAGGCCTGGATCACTGGGGTCTTGTTATTCTGGGGGTCCCCTCCTGCTCTGCACTGGGGATACATGCACTTAGAAAGGAGCCAGCCCTTTCACCTGCACTGTCTCATTTAATCCTTACAACCAATGTGGCAGGAGTATAGGCTTCGCCTCATGTCACAGCCTGGCAACTGAGCCTTCATAGGTCACAGGTCATGTGTCAGGAGCACAGTCTGCTCTACCTCATAGCTTGGCAGCTGAGACTCAGATGTCATAGGTCATAGGTCACAAGTCATAGGTCACGTGTCAGGAGCACAGGCATTGTCCCACCTCACAGGTGGGCACCTGAGACTCAGGGATGTCCTAGGTCATAGGTCACAGGTCATAGGTCATGTGTCATGTGTCAGGCGCACAGGCATTGTCCCACCTCACAGGTGGGCACTTGAGACTCAGAGACATCCTAGGTCAGGGCCAAAGAGCTGGCACCAGGAGTGTGAAGACTTGGCACTAAGACCTGACCCATGCCCTCAACCGTGATGCCGCTAGGGGAAAATGACACTGTCAGCAGGAGCACCCACAAGTGGCCTGCTGGTGTGGACACGTGCTCACAGGACCCTGTGCAACATGAGCTGCATTCCTGTCAGGCAGTGAGGAAGCAGACTCCCAGGGTCCGGTGAGTGAGGGTGAAGCTGGCTGGCCCTCAGGTCTGTGGCTGTCTTGTACCTGTCCCAGAGAGCCACTGGTGTGTCATAGGGCAGGTGGCAGGCCGAGCCATGGCCTGCAGATCTCAGGTCGCACTCTCCTTACTTGGGAAAGGACCAGGCGCCATTAGGCCAAGGACCTCGAGTGTGGTGTGCGTCTATGTGGGGAGCCCAGTGCCCTCGCATTGTCCTTAAAAGAGGGCAGCAGAGGGATTTGAGACACAGAGGAGGAGGGGTGCGGTGACCCATGGCAGACTTTGGATGCCCCAGAAGCTGGAAGAGGCCGGAAGGAGCTTGGCCTGGGCCTTGAGAAGGAATCTGATTTCAGATCCCATCTCCAACAGTGAGAAAATCAGGCACCGCTGCTTCAGGCCACCCCATCTGCAGTCATCGGTCACAGCAGCTACAGGGGACTCCCACGGGGCCCTCAAGAATGTGGAGGGCCCTTTCCCTGCCGTGTCCATCTCAGTGTCACCTCAGGGTCTCAGGACTCCTTACAGTGGCAGCAGTGCGTTGGTGCTGTAAATAGTCACAGACCCCGGGTCCTCTCCCTGTCCAGTCTGAGTGATAGCAGAGGCTGGGCTGAGCGTGTCAGTCAAGGTCTCGGCAGGGCCGTGCCTTTCTGGAGGCTCCCGGGAGTCTCTTTCCTCACCTGGTCCATTCTCCCTGTCCTAGGACAATCAGAAGAGAGGAGGTGAGATCTAGTGAGGTTAAGAGGTCCAGAGCCCTGGGGTAGGGGGTCCCAGGCAGAAGAGAAGGGGGAGGCCCATGGCTAGGAAGAAGTCGTGTGAGGCCAGAGAGTCCCAGGCAAAAAAACAAAAACAAAAACGCACAATCCAAACAGCAAAATAAAAACCAAAACAAAAATTCCACCCCAAACCCAAACTACACCCGTAATCAAGATAAATGATATTCTGATGCAATTTAAGAAATCAAGAGTAATGCCAAAAAAATCCAATAATAACAAAATATTAAAGCTTTAAATAAAGACGGGTAAATTTGTGTGGTTGGAGCCCTACTGGTGCCCGAGGCAAAAGGACAAAGCAGTCATTTCCCGATCCTGCCTCTTTCACCATTTCGGTATTGAGTCCATCATGGTTGTGTTTGCCTTCGTTTTGGATTTGTAAAGTATTATTCATCAAGATACTCTCTTGAGCGCCCCCTTCAGTGCCCCAGCTCACTGCACCCCCTGCTGGGTGCATCCTGTCGGCCCTGGCCCGGTGCTGACCCGGTGCTGACCCACCCAGCCCTCGACAGCCCTTCAGTCCCCCCCCCCCCCCCCGCAACGTCCGGGCGCCCGCGGCCGCTCCGCTCCTGCAGGGCCGCCAGTTCCCGGGAGGGGGCGCTGTGGGACCGTGCCAGGGCCCAGCCTGGGGCACTTCCTTCCCACCTTCTGCTTCTCCTCCTCCTTTTTTTTTGTGCTGGGGATCGAACTCAGGACCTTGCTTGCAAGGCAGGCGCGGCTCCACCGACCTAAATCCCTGGCCCCTTGCTTCTCCTTATCTGCTGCTTCTCCCTGGAAACAAGTGGCCGAGGGAGGGAGAACACAAGGATGCGCTGAGCCCCTGCTGCTGAGGCCGGGCTCCTGGGAGGGAGGCACGGGCTGTGAGTTCTGGTCTAGATGAGCAGCGTGTATTTCATGGATTTGACCTGGGAAAAAAATGCACTGAACGTTAACTCCTCGCGCGAGCCTCAGACGCCTTTTCCCGCGACCCCGCGCAGCTGTCCTGAAGATGAGGTGGATGCTGAGGCTGAGGGGTGGGGTCTCTGGCCTGGGTCCAGGGACAGCGATTCTGGCCCGTCTCCTGCTCTGGATCCAGACGCGCGTCCCGAGACAGCCCCGACCTGCCCTGCTGGCGCCCCAAAGACTGCAGCCAGGGGCAGGGCAGAACCAGCGTCTGCCTCCGGCCCTCAGCCCTTGCCCTGGCCCTGCCCAGCTGTCCGAACTGCCCGCGGCACTCCAGGCCCACGCGCCAGAAATTCGAGTCCCGGAGGAGCCCGGGAGGGGAGGGCGAAGCCCCCACGCCCCAAAAGTGCCTGGGGCAGAAGTTCCCACCCGAGTGGGCCACTAGGGTGAGGGGGCTCATTCTCTCTGTGCATTTTATCTTGTACTCATTTTCTACTGCAGGCAAGAGTGCATTACGTTTCATAATTTGCAGAGAAAACCATAAAATGTAAGACTTAAAAGCACATTTAGACAAAAATTAACTGGGAAAATGTAGCTTCAGTGAGCTCCTAGCAGGAGGCTGGTCAAAGTTAGTTTCTGGAATGACAAAGAGCAGGGAACAGAGGTATTGACCGTGGTGATCAGTGTGTGGCCCAAGTCCCTAGTCTCACCCTCAGGGACGCAGTAGTTCCTGATCCCAGAAACCCTGCCTGCTTAACCCTTTTAATCTCCACAGTGACCCTCCCTGTGAGGCAGGTTTTACTATCTTTAAAATTCTTATTCCTGTTTCTCAAGAAAGCTGAGACCCAGAGAGATAAAATAAATGTCCCAGAGTCACAGGGTGGAAAAGGCTCAAGCATCAGAGCTGGGCCAGTGCCGGGTCTTGACCCCTCAGAAGCTGCAACTCTGGGGTCCCCGGCACCCCACCCTGGGCTGCAGTGTGCTCTGAGTGGAAAGCAGACGTTTCTACCCTGTGAAGGTTCACTTGGGATGAATCGGAACCTGTGAGGCCCATGAAGAGCATAGTGTCCTTGAGAAAGTGAGTTCCAGGTGTAGATTTGCTGCTCCACTCCTTCACCTGAGGTCTCTGATCGGGAAACTGAGGCTCAGAGGTGTTCAGCCACCTGCCCAAAGCCAGTGGTTCCTTCTCCGTTATTGGCACAGGCTTTGTGCCTGCCTTGGTCCACAGGGCTAGGGGCACACATGGGAGCCAGTGGGGCAGGGCTGGAGAGCCCCTTGGGACCCAGGCTCAAGCTCCTGCCTTGCTCTGCCCCTTCCTGATGTGCCCTGATGCCCCACTTCCTGCTTCTCCGCTCTGACCCCACTGCCCGCCCCTCCCTCTGCCAGTCCCTGTCTCCTGGCCAAATTCTCAGCTCAGCAACTGTGACCTTCTCAAGGGTCCTTCCCCGAGCGGGACCCTCTGAATCTCTCCCAGTGACTTTAACTTGGGGCACAGGGGCAGCTTTTGACCTCCTTCTGGTCTGTGTGGCCCTTGGCCAGCTGTCAAAATGAGACCATCACCCTGCTCGGTGGGCACTTGCTGAGTGAGGGAATAGTGTGGAGAGACGGCCAGACCCAGGCCTGTCATGGTCCTCCTGGTTCCGGGAGCGCAGTTCTTTCTGTGGAAGGAAGTGTGAGGCTCATCCGGGTCTGCTGTCCCACCGCATGTCTGGCGGGTGAGGGGTCTGCCCTGGGGGTCCTGACCCCCTCAATCCTCCCTTAGCAGCTGCCTTGGCCAAGAGGGCGGGGCTGTGACAACCACCCTGCAATTTCTGTGGGAACCGAGGCAGGCTCAGGGTGATCTGGGGTGGGTCAGCTCTGCTTCTTAAAGGGTCCCCTTCCTCAGGGCGAGGCCACCGCGTGGCCTCAGGGTTTGCTGCAGGTGCTACTTGGAGGTGAGCCTGGATGTGTGAGCCCAGGCAGCAGGGGCTGGGGACCCCGTGTCCTCCCCCAGCTGAGCACAAAGCAGGAGGCTGCCCCCTTGGTGAGGGCAAAGGGGCTGGGAGTTGGCCCTGTGGGTGGCATTGCTGGCCAGCACCCTCTTCCCTGAGTGGCACTGTGCCGGGCAGAGAGACAGGAAAGATGCGAGCAGGAGAGGTGGCTGGCAGGGGCTGCCAGCGGCGACAGTGATGGCTGGGTTTCCTGCGGGTGTCTGGCTGGTGACCTTTCAGAGGGATGGATTCAGAAGTGACTGCTATTTATCGAGGCCCAGTTCAGAGACATCGGAGGGGGCCGCCGCCTCTGCATTAAATGTCAGGCCCACACCGTCACTGGGAGAGAGAGGAACATCCCAGCAGGGTGCGGCTGGCTGAGGCTCCTGAGCCAAGCTCGTCCTCAGAACACGGCCTGGTAGCCACCTGGGGTCTGGGGACAGTAATCTGTCACTTATTGTGTGTGTGTGCTTCCCTATTCCCTTCCCAAAAGGTAGTAGGCCCCCATCAGAGTTTTGTGGTGTGGAGCAGAAAATTAGTTTGCTGAAAGACAAGGGAGCTCATGGTCCTTATTTTCAAGGGTGGGGGGCTTGGAAGGGGTGTGGCTGAAGCAAGAGAGAACGAGCCACAGCCGAGGGGCTCGGTCCTTGCAGTGGAATGTCCACGGCACAGACGCCAGGAGCTCCTGCCGGGCTGGGCTCCGGGTGCTGAGGCCCACTACTCCAAACATCCCTCTGCCCTTCTCCTGGCTGCTGCCCTCTGGGGTCGTGCATCTCAAGGCCCAGGGGTCAGATACAAAGCGCCAGGGTTTGAAGCAGGCTTGGCCACCTGACCGGGGCCTTAGGCAAGCCTGAGCCTGTCTGTGCCTCAGTGCCCTCATCTGCGGATCTGGGAGATGAAAAGCACCCACCCGCAGCCTGCAGTGAGGCTCAAAGCCAAACCCACCTGGAGCAGTCCCCAGCCTAGCACGTTCTCACTTCGCTATTCTGCACACAGTGGCTGCAAGTGTAGACTTCGGGTCTGGGCCTCCTGGAAATTGGGCGCTTGCTGGGCCCCTGAGGCTTTGAGGCGGAGCCTGTGACAGGGTCCCCAGGGAGGGCGGGCTGGGAAGGAATACTCCATCCGCCCAGTGGGAGGGGCCGGGCCTTCTGGGGTGGCGAGATCCTGGGGAGCTGCTGGGAGCCGTGCTGGGGGGAGCAGGGATCTGAGCAGCCCGCCGCCCGCTGTGGCTGTAGACTTGCACTGTCACCCACGGGACACCCGGCGGCCAGCCCGGCTCTGGCCCTCGGCCTGGTGCACCTGGCCGCTCTGTGAAGCTGTCCCTTCCGCTCTGCAGCGGCCTCTCTGCCCTGGGAGCGCCAGCGGGGGCCCAGAGAGCTCCTCAGCCCTCCCTCTCCTCTGCCTGCGCCCTTCTCCCTCTTCGCCTCTGCCTCTGTCTCTCTCTCTCTTCTCCTGAGCCCCTCCCTCCTTTTCCCTTCTATTCCTCCTGCCTTTCTCCTCTTTCCCTCCCTCTAGCTTCCTTTTCCTTCCTTCCCTCCCTCCCCCGCCCTCTCCCTGCGGCGGTGGTGGAGCTAGGCTGTATTTGTGTTTGTGCCTGCTATCGGGACCTGACCTTTTCTCTTCCAGGGAAGGAGCGGGGTAATTCGTGTGTATAATCCCTGGCCTGCCTGCTTTCGCTGCAGACATCAACAAACCCCTGCAAGTCGGATGGAGGCCCAAGCCGAGGCTGCAGGACACAGGGCGCGGGGCGGGGCGCCTGCTGGCCTGGCCGGGCTCCCTCCTCTGCTGTCCTGCTGTCCTGCAGAGGGCGGGGGCAGGAGCCTCCCACGGACTGGGTAACACGTCAGCGACTCGGGTTCTAGAACACCGCACAAATGCTTTCTGTTGGGAGTTACAGTTTTGTGTTCCTGATTCTAAGTCAGAGAACAGCTTTGGTCAGGGGCACAGGCAGCTTTTCTGTCCTCATTGGCTCCCTCTCCACAGGAAGGCTGTGGACCTCTGCCCCCTGTGCCACGAGGAACAGGGACAGCTGTCCTCATGCCCTTCTCCAGGACAGAAAAGCAGCTGTGGGAAGAAGCATTTGGGATCCCCATGCACAGCACCCTGAGGACGGAGATTTGGACCCACACACTTCCTGTCTGTATCACCTAGAGACAAACCCTGAGCCCCCAGCAGAGGTCTGGCAGGAGATTAACGTATCTGATGGATTTATGCATTTATTATTTATTTGAAAACTTCTTAAGCTGGAGTAATGAGGGACAGTGTGCAGTCATACACTCACAGCTTGTGTCCTCTCTGTCTGAGCACTTCTGTGTCCCCAGGGTCCAGGTAAGGACAGAAGGTGACCCCCATGGCCCTCCTACTCCACCCCTACTTCAGTCAGCACCGATCAGTTTCTTCTGTCTTGCACTTTATATAAATGGAATCACACAGCGTGTTCTGTGTCTGGTGTCTTTGGGCCAGTGCTCGGCAGATTTGTTTTTGTCTCAGATCCCACTGAGCAGGTTTCCTGAGGCTGGGAAAGATCCCCATATGCAGGTCCCCGGATGCTGGGGATCGACAGAAAAAAAGGCTCAGAGACCAGATGGCCATGAGGTGTGACCAAGAGACCATGTGACCTGCTGTGGGCCCTCACTGTTTAGTCTGATCTGGGCAGCGGTGACATATATTCCTGTATATATCTCAGCAATAGGGAAAAACCTATAATTGCAAACATATCACCCAGCACCAAAAATTAAACATCTTCTAATCATTTTTTGGGTGAAATTCGTGCTACACAAAGCTAATCATTTTAAGTGAACAATACTGATGCAGTTGAAGAGTCCTCTTTGCCTTAGCAGCACTCTGCTGCCTGTTCTGAACACTGTTCCCCTCCCTAGGGGAACCACTATCATGACAGAGTCCATCACAGTGCTTTGGTTTCATTTTTAAATGGATACTGGACCACAGGAGAATCTGAAGACCCAGCTTCTTTTGGTGACTCTGAGTGCCGGGCTACCAGGAAGCCCCAGGCCCCAGCATCCACTGGTCACCTCTGTGTGCCCCCCGGGTGAGGGAGACCCCCCCAAAGCTCCTGCTGGATGGCATTTCTTGTGAGTGCCTCCCTGCTCAGTCTCTGAATTTGTAGCCCCCAAAGGGCTCCCAACTCCAGGGCCCCCAAACACCTGCCTGGGCTCCAGTGCACATCTCTGATGTCGAAGCACATAAATACAAATCTTCCATCGAAATCAGGATTGACTGTCTGCTTTTCTCCTTCTAGGGGGATGGATAATGTGATGGTAATGATTTGGGGTTGTGCAAAGCCTTCCTGTAGAGGGCCCGTGGTAGATACTTTCCACTAGGCAGGGCAGGTCGTCCTTGTTGCAATTACAGTTGCCTCTTGGTGACCTGGGTTTGTTCCTGGATCCCCATCGATGCCAAAATCTGAGGACCTCGAGTGCCTTCTATAAAAGGTGTGGCATTTGCACGTAGCCAACACCCTCCTGTTTACTGTAAAACATTCCTTCATGACTTATAATACTGACTACAATGTAAATGCTATGTAAATAGTTGTTCTACTGCATTGTTTAGTTCTACTGTATATGTTTAGTACAGATACTTTTTTTTTCCTCAAAGATTTTGGATCTGAAATTAGTTGATTCCACTGAGGTGGAGCTGCTGTACTCTGCTCTGAGATGGGAGCCAACAAATAGCTGTGTGCCAAGAAAACTTATTTACAAAAAGATGTTTGGGGCCAGCTTTGCCCAGTGGGGCATAATTTGCCCCCCTCTGATTTAGTAGATAGGTGCGGTGGTGGCTCTATTTTTCAAAGATTCTTTAACTTGAAAAAATTAAAATGTAGCAATGGCCAATGTACAGTCCCTGTGTTAGACATTGCTATTGCCAGTGGAGACTTCTTGTCCCTCGAATGCTAGGTAGAGTCAGGTGACTTGATTTGGGGAAGGGGATGGGAGCAGGTGATGTCACCTCCAGGCTGAGCATTTCCAGGCCAGGGTGCAGTTCAACAGTGACCAGGAACGTGTGATGTGCTTCTAAGTGGGCTTCCTGAAGGTGACTGGATGATAGGGCTCATAGCAGACTTGCTGGGAGGAGTGTGGCCTGATTGCAAGAGGCAGTCGTAGGGCGTGGCCGGAAGGGTCACCTCTCTCCTGGCTCCTCCTCTGCTCTCTACTTCCTGTCTGCAGTGCCATGAGCTGTTCTCCAGCACGCGCCTTTGCCATGCCCTTTCAGCTTTGGAGATGACTGAAACATGAGCCAAAATAAACCTCTCCTCCTTTAAACTGTGGTTGTCAGGTATTTTGTCCCAGCAACGAGGAAAGTGACTAACACATCTTTAGACATCCACGTGGAGATATCAGAGAAACAGTTGGAAATGTGAGTTAGCCTTTTTCCTATACTTGGATAGTTTTGTTGCGTGCGTGAGGGTAACTTAGTCCATTTCCTGCTGCTAATAACACAGACTGGGTAAATTATAAAGAAAAGAGGGTTTTTTTGCTCACAGTTCTGGAGCTGCATCTGGTGACAGTCATCTCACCGGCACGGTCCTGAGGAGGAGCGGATGTCACCACATGTGTGCCTGTCTGTCCTCCAGTCTCCTTCCCTCTTCTAACCCCCTTGACCTTGTGATTGCAGCCACCCCTCACAGTCCTGAGCTCCAAACACTCAAATTTCCCCTCTCTTCATACCTCACCACGGGGACTAAACCCCAGGGTGAGTTTCGGAGGGCGCAAACCACATTCGCAGCACAGCTCTGGGTAACCCTTGCTGTATCAGAGACCCGCAAGGGCTCTGGCACCATCTTGGTGGCTTCCTTGGATTTCATTGGTTCAGGGGTCTGACTAAGCTCTCATGTTTGGTATAATTGCTTCGTAGAAATGAGTAGGAGAGATAGGAAATTGCTGATAACAAGGACAAGAAGTAAAGGTCTCTGTCACCAATGCTGTTCAGCCAGAATTGGTGTCATCGGACAACATGGCAAGGGGGTGCTCAAGGGGAGTAGTAAATCTGATGATTTTTAGTTAAGTCTTTAAAAAAAAACCCGCTAAAGAATACACATCAAGTTTGAAATATAGCAGATTACATCAGAGGGCAAAGGGTAATTAGAGACTTTGTAAAAATGTTTTCACTTTCTAAGAAGAAAAGCTCCCTAATAGCATGTAAGGAGATGGCTAGGATTTTAAACTCTTAACCTTTACACATGTTTTCAGGGCAGTATCATGTTTGAGTGTTGGAGAAGCCTGCCATTTTCTTAGGGTGCTACACAGCGGGGAGCACCCCGCTGACTGCCCCGACCCCACCAGCCATATCTTCCTTCTCTCAACAATGCGGAGCACCGGGGGGCTGGGCATCACCTTAGGGGTGTCTGCAGGTGAGGAAAGCCTGTGTGACACTGGGCTACAGGGAAGGCTGGCCTGTTAGGGGCTTAAGACAGTGGCACCGATTTCTCATAAGTGAAGATAGATTGGTTGCTTGGGAGCACAGGGCAAGCAGGACAGAGAGGCTGCTCCTGAAGGCTCTCCAGCTGGGAGTCGGAGGTGCCTTGCAGTTCACTGGTGGAAGGGGAAGGAAGTGTTGTCTGGTCTGGGATTTGATTTTACTTTACTCATAAATTCATAAATTAACCTGTTAAGGCATCTTGGGTGCTGCCAAAAGACAGAGATGCCAGGGGCAGAGACAAAAGACTTTGTGACTCTTGGTACCGGAAGTAGCACGAGCATCAGCCTGTGTTGGTCCCCCGCTCTCAGGTCCCAGGGGTGGCTTGTGTCACCGTTGAGGGGCCCAGAGCTTGGGGAGCAGCCACTCCCTATGGGCAGTAAGCCCTGCGCCTGCCTCGGAGGGAGACCCTGCCTCATCCCCCAGGGCTGCAGGCTGCAGACACAGTTCTGAGGGCCCGGCAGGGGCAGAGCCTTCACTCTTGGCACATCCGGAGCCTTAGCTTCCAGGGCATTGCTGCTGGAGTAAATTGCCACAAGCCTAGGGGTTTAAAACAGCACGCACGCATGATCATCTCACAGTTCTGTGGGTCAGGGGCCTGAGTGGGTTCTGGTGTCTGCTAGGCAAGCTCCAGGCAAGGTGTCAGCAGCCAGAGCTCCTGTCTGGAGTCCTGGGGAGATTCCACTTTGGGCTCCTTCAGGCTTCAGACCGAAACTCAATGGGGCTTCAGGACCAAGGTCCCATCCCCTGGCTGGTCGCTGGCTGGGAGCATTGTATCCTTTCAAGCTGCCTCTGTTCTTGTGTGGCTGCTTCTGTTTTCAGAGCATCTTCCACCCTCTAGATCCTTGGTTTTCAATCTTTCTAATGTCTCTCTCTTGTCTTCTTCATTTCTTCCTTCCCTTCCTTTCCTTTTTCTTTCTCCTCCCCTGCCTCCTCTTTCTCTTCTCCTCTTCCCCTCCCCCACCACCTCTTCCTCCTCCTTCTTCTTCAATACATGTTTGCAGTACATGTGTTCCTTATGTGGAGTTGGTACATGTACATGCATAACACATCTTAATTTCTTTTTCATTCCCTCCCCCCACCTCCACCTCTCATCCCGCATGAAAAAGATCTATCTTTTACTTTGCTCTTTATTTAAAATTTGGGTTTCCCATATAAGAGAAACACATGCACTATTTAAACCTGTGTGTCTGCTTTATTTCACTTAAGTTTTGTCTCAAGGTGTGTTCTACAGATGACTCAAGTTTACCTTTCTTTATGACAGAGCAGTACTCTAATGTGTGTAAATACCACATCTTGTTTATCCATTCATCTGCTGGTGGACATATAGGCTGCTTCAAAGATTTACATGTTATGAATTGTGCTATAAACATGGGTAT